TATATTTTGAGTTCATTTAATATTAACATAATTGATTGTTTTAAAAAAAATAGAGGGGGGCTAAAAGTGTATTTTATCCCTACTATATCAATATATACATGCATATTTACTAAAAAAAATTAGGGTGAGGCTAGGGGTGGGGTGGGGGTTGGGGGAGCCAGGGCACCCTTACCCCATAAGGTAGCTTCGTCCCTGCAAACTATGAAATCAACAAATTCATGATAATAATAAGGAAAAAGTGTCAAATAGATCATTTAACTTATTGTTTATGTGCAATTAAGTCACTAAACTTAAAAATGGCTATTTTGTGGTACAAATATATGTAGGGTTTACTTTTGATTTTAGTCAGGTCAAAGTGTATTTGAGTTCTTTGTAACTAGATGAAAAAATCGATGTATTATACGCTAAAAATGGATAATAAGTAAATGAGAAATTCAGTCTCAAAGTACACACATCTGAGTTGGGAAAATGGAGATAGGAAGGCGTGAAAGTTGCCTTATGTCCCACATTGGGAATGGATGTGACAAATCCCTTTTGAGTTTGAATTGTATAACATAAATACTCTCTCGCATTGGGTGGGTTGCAAATTTCGTTTGTTCCATTGTCTTTTCACTGTAATCTATTTTATCTTGGGAGTGTGACGCTATAAAACTCCTAGTACCCGGCCCTCCAAGGTAGCGAATAGGTTTTAAAGAAGTGTGTGTACACACGACTTAGATTTCCTTGTTTTCATTTTTATGTTCCCTCCTTGGAATTATTTCTAAAATTAAATCTTGCAATTTTTGGTTTTTATTGAAAAATTGACTTATTCGCCTACAAAAAAGTATGCAATTAAATCATCAAACAAACAAAATATATTCAATTGGGACACTTTTTATAATTTTTCAAGTAGAATCCGATCATATTGATTGCATGATATGTAATTATGTACTAAGAGTTGTCATTTCCTCTATCATACTAGTTAGGATGAAAGATTAAAATATTTTCAACTAAAATTGCATTAAAATAAATCATAAAAATATCTCAATTAAACCTATCTTGCTTGTTTGATAGTTTGATTCCACACTTTTTTTTTAGTTCAATGACCACTGGACCACTAGTGGAAATCATTAGATTTTCGATCAGCAAAACAGTGGTCGGAAAAAGTACATTTTTTGCATTTTTCCGGCGAAGGAGTGAGGTGGTCAGAACCGAACACTTATAGCGGTGGTCGAAATTTCCGACCACCATCTGCAAGGTGGTCAGAAATTCTGACCATTGTTTGTAGGTGGTCGGAAACTATCGGTGGTTTAATTTTTAAATAGGTTTTTTTTCCAACCACCAACAATGGTGATCGAAAATATCTTTATATATAGCTTCCCTGCATATTTCTAGATCAGTTTTCTCTGGTTTTTACCTCTTTCTATTGCTTTTTTTCATTGTTGCAGGTTTTCTTTGAATAAATCATGCATAATAGTGTTAAAATCAAGTTGTACTACATCATATCAAGCTAAGGTATGTGTTTACATTCTTATATCTACCATTTATTAAGACTTTTTTTAGATATAGGTTTGATTGTTTTAAGTATATTTTTGTCAATACTTATTTAGATTATTTATTTTAATATAATTGAACAATGTATACTGTGCATATATGTATATGTGTATGTATGTGAGTATGTTTATAATTATTTGTATATTTGTGTTTTCTTAAAATTGCATTTTATATGTGTGTCTATTTATTAGTATGTGTGTATAGAATTATTTAAAATATTAGTATTATTTGCAATATACTTATATATGTGTTTGTATTGTATATATGTTTTTGCAGTTGTTTTACATGGCTAATATACCTGAACATCGGAAATGGATGTATAAACGATTGTTGCCCGAAAAAAGGGGTACACTGATGAGCTATTAATGGGTGTTGAGGAATTTGTAAATTATGCAAGCACACTTCCTATATACGAGGCTTCAATGAAGATTAGGTGCCCATGTAGTAAGTGTAAGAATAAAGTACACTTGTCTACAGATGATTTTCGTGTTCATTTGTATAAGAAGGGTTGTGAACCAAATTATTGGATTTGGACATGTCACGATGAGCTTTCACCTTCAATACAACCACACATGAATGAGGGCCCTAGTGAAAATGACGAAAATGACCAAGATGAAGAGCCACATAGTAGTACAAGAAACTTTTATGATTTGTTAAATGCTGCGAAACAACCTTTATCAATGAATTTTGGTGAAGAAATAGAGTTGGCATATACATTGATGATGATGAATATCAAGACAACTTATAATATCCTGCAGGTAACAATGGATCAAATATTTTAGTATAATAACCGTATGATGGGTCCGGACTGTAACACCCCGTGTTACAACCTCCGAGTCTGGACTAATTATGGAATTAATTCCGATAATGTATAATTAAAAATGATTTAATTGGACTAGCATTCCCATTAATTAATTAGTGTGGTCCACAATGGATCACAAACCCTTATCCTTAACCGAGTCTTTAATTCGTTAGGAATAGGGAAAGTGGGCATTTACTATTCAGACTCTAGTTAGGACTCCTGAATCTATATATATGGGATTAAAAAGCATTTAGAAACCCTACCACGATTAATTCTACAACACGAGACATTCCCCGAGGAAACCTAGCAAGGGAATTCCCCACCGCCGAACCTAGGAAGATCAATTGGAAGAGGATCTTAGAGAAGAACCTAAGTAGCCAAGGATATTGATTAGGGCTAAGAGGTAACCCATGTTTTACAAAAACTATTATCCTTGCTATATCTTGATTATTGGCTCCTTTGATGTGTGATTCTGTGATTGAGTCTTGATAGAGCCTTGCCTAGGGTTTATATTGTCTTTATTTGATAATCTTGATGATCTTGATGCTATGATTGATTATATGTGTGATCTTGTATTTAATTATGTCTAGAGCTTGTCCCTCGGGTTTATATCGTGAATCTCGTATTATAATGTTTTTGGTGTTCTTGGGTGGGTTTATGCATGCTCGGGTATTGAGTCTAGCCTAGGATGATAAACATTATTTTTGTTGTTATTTTAAATAATTTTTTATAGTTAAGCTGCAAATAATTGATTAATTTTTATCTAATTTTATTTATTATTGACATAAGTAGTTTTGTTAATATTAATCTATTGTAAGATTGTTTTTATTAAATTTGTCTATTATTTGAATTATATTAGAACAATAATTCCTTAACCCCAATTTAATAAGATTATTATTATTATTATTATTATTATTATTATTATTATTATTATATTATCATATTAGATTAGATTAGATCTATCCATTTTGTTAGGATTAGGACTTTAATTAATAAAATATGAGAGAGGCGCAGCTTCATCCCCTCGGCTAACGAAGATTCGGTCCGGTCAGCTAAAGACCCGAAAGAAGAGCCGATCCTCATTCTCCTGCGACATCTATGCCAAGAATTGAATAGTGTAAGGAGAAGCAGTCGAAGGCTATAAATAAAGTTCGGTCGAAGTTCTTCAGGAAGCTCGACACAACCATTTATCACCTTCATCACCGATCACCGAATTTCATCACCATCACCATCACCATCTTAACACCCAAAAGCCATTCATCATCACCAATTCTATAAAAATTCAATCCAGAATAATTTCGGTCAGGCCCAGCGTGAGAGTCCGTAGCAAAAGTTCCGGCGACAACGAATTCTGGTTCGGCGGTGGAAGGAGTGTAGAGTTCGGCAGTAGTGCAGCAAGTTTCTGGTTTTCTTTCCTCTTGTCTTTCTTTTGAGAATTTAGTTGCAAGCATTTTCTTTCCATTGTTTTGTCTAGTTTTCCAGTATACTACTTGTGGGTGAAATTTGCATAACTTTTCATAATTCATTCCAATTCACACAATTGCTTAAAAGATTTGTTTAGTTGTTAGTATTTACCGTAGTGCATTTTTTTCCGGATTTGGTTGAGAAGTTTTTCACTGTCAATTAATATTTCCTGGTTCTGTTCCTTTCTCTTCAATTCGTACTACTTCTTGTTTTAATTATGTTATTCCTTTATTGTGAGCACACTAAATTAATTAGTCATTCCCTTTACTCTCTCTAATTATTCATTTTATCCTTTGATTAGTGTTGATAAATGAAGCATTGTGATTTAATTATTATTGCAAATTTTTCATAATTATGCACTGCTACTAGTTTAATTAATTTCTCTCGGAACTCGAACAATACACTATGGAAGTTTTACCGTAGTTATGTTTTCAATTCAATTCTATTTTAATTTATCTTACGCTTGGAACTGTGATTTGCAATTATCTTATTATTTGATATTCGTTTTGGATACTTAAAATTGTCAAGTTCGTTGCTTTAATTTGATAGTTCCTTGCTGCTATTTGATTTCGTTGTTATTTTTTAATCTTTCCTGACAATATTTTCTATTTGCAGTCTCATTTGGTTAAGTACATTTTGACTCTAAATTAGCTTTGAACCGTTAATTTGTCAAGTTTTTCATTTTAATTCCAAATTATTAAATTGCATACTATCAATTTCCTGTGGGATCGACCCTTGCCTTTGTACACTATAACTACACTGACTCGTGCACTTGCGAGGACATAAATATTAAAATTGTCTAACAATTTTTGGCGCCGTTGCCGGGGAATTCACCCAAGCTTAAATTCACAAGGAAAAAAACATTTTCTTTCCAAAGCAAAACATTTTTTTTTTGGGATGAGCCTTATTTGTTTAAATTTTTCCTGATCAAATAATTAGAAGGTGTATTCCTGAGTTTGAACAGCAAAATATTTTGAATCACAGTCACACTTTAAATTGCGGAGGACATTTTAGTGGGAAGAAAACTGCATCGAAAGTTTTGCAGTCCGGTTTTTATTGGCCCACTTTGTTCAAGGATGCATATGAATTTTGTGCTAAGTGTGATAGATGCCAGAGGACTGGTAATATAAGTAAGCGTCATGAAATGCCTCTCTAAAATATTCTAGTTGTTGACCTGTTTGTTGTTTGGGGAATTGATTTCATGGGGCCTTTTCCTACTTCCTTTGGTTATAATTATATTCTTGTGGCTGTTGATTATGTATCAAAATGGGTTGAAGCTGTAGCCACTAGGACAAATGATAGTAAAGTTGTTTTGAAATTTCTAAAAGATATTTTTGCCAGGTTTGGGACACACATAGCTATTATTAGCGATGAAGGTACCCACTTCTGTAATAAACTTTTTGCAGGTCTTTTGAAAAAATATAGCATTACTCATAAAGTAGCTACTCCATACCAATCACAAACCTCTGGTCAAGTAGAGGTGAGTAACAGACAAATCAAAGGAATACTGGAAAAAACGGTGAATCCTTCCCGGAAGGATTGGGCCATCAAATTGAATGATGCACTGTGGGCTTATAGGACAGCCTACAAGACTCTGATTGGCATGAGCTCATACAGGTTAGTATTTGGGAAAGCTTGTCATTTGCCAGTAGAGTTAGAACACAAAGCCTATTGGGCTATTAAAGTCCTAAATTTTGATTTGCAGAAGGCTGGTGGGTTTAGAAAATTGAATTTGAATGAATTAGATGAAATAAGAAATGAGGCCTATGACAACTCAAAAATCTATAAATAGAGGACTAAAGCTTATCATGATAAATTTATTTTGAGGAAAAATTTTGAACCTGGGATGAAAGTTTTGTTATTTAACTCTCGTTTGAGATTGTTTCCAGGTAAGTTAAAATCTTGGTGGACAGGGCCATTTGTGGTACGTGAAGTATTTTCCCATGGTGCCTGCGAGATTGAAAATCCAGACACAGGTGAAAAATTTAAGGTAAATGGGCAACGACTAAAACAGTACCTCGAGGGAGATCCCTCAGTCTTGAGTATTGATCAGATAGAGTTACAGGACTCTAAATGCCCATGTTGTCCAGCTACAGACAATTACTGAAGCGCTATTGTGAGGCAACCCAATTCTCTTCCCCTTTTCTCCTTTATTTTCATGTTGTTTGTGTTTCTCTTATACTTTTTGTTTGTTCTCAACATTGCGGACAATGTTTGAAATAAGTGTGGGGAGGGGATTTCTATTTTGTAATATTTGTCAATCTCTTTTAAAAAAAATTATTTTACTTTTAAAAATAATAAGAACTTGAGCCTTTACCCAATAAGTCTTTTGACTAGCCTATGATGAAAATTATACATGTTTTGTCAACTCTTAGTGTGTATATTGCATGTGGCTAGTTGTTAATTTCTTTTATTTTGAATAATTTTGCCAAAGAAAAAAATTGAAAAATTAAAATAAAATACAAAAAAAAAAACAAAACAATATATATATATATATATATATATATATATATATATGTATGTATATATATATATATATATATATGTATGTATATATATATATATATATATATATATATATATATATATATATATATATATATATATATATATAGATTTTGAAAATCACAAATACCGTTATATGTTTATGCATTTTTTTTAATAGTTTATATGTTAGTTTCACTTTATATTACCTTTTTCAAATTCTTAAATAGTTCTTGAGTGCTATAAATTGTGGTGTAGTGTGTTGGTTCGAGGATCATCTTTGTGGCATAAGTGAGGTGAAAAGAAAAGATTATAAAAAAGATATTAAAAAAAATAAAAATAAATGAGAGTGTTCGGTTATTAAGTTATTTATTTTGCAAATCTAAGAGATTCTACTCCGCTGAATCAGCCATCTATACACATGTATAATAAATAAATCAATAAGTGTTGTGGTCTGTTTTATGAGTACACACAAAATTGAAAACCCAAACAAGTCTGGCGTAAAATGGCGAGGTTTTTGGGGAAGTTTTCTTTGGAAAAAGTCAAAATAGAAAAATAATGAGTGAACTTTGAAAGAGACGAGCATTTGCATTTTAATTTTAATAAATGTCTCGATCCTTGTTTCCTTCATGTTTTGCATCTGCACTGTGATAGAATGATTTCGAATTTGGTTTAGGTTATATTTTGTGAAATTTTCGTATTTACTTTATTGAGTTTTTGTATAGCTCATATAAGGGGTATTAGCACACGAGCACAAGTTTTATATTTATTTTAGTTGCTAAAGATTTTAATTTCTAGTCAATTATTTTATGCACTCTTTGAGTTGACATTAATTTTGCATTGATGAGGCAAATAAATTTGAAAGGCTATTTGGGTACAACTCGATCTAATACTTGCTTTTATTTTAATTTCTTTTCTTGTTAATAATGTTTTTGTTTGAGGACAAGCAAATAAATAAGTGTGGGAAGATTTGATAAAAATTATTTTTGTTGTTATTTTAACTAATTTTTTATAGTTAAGCTGCAAATAATTGATTAATTTTTATCTAATTTTATTTATTATTGACATAAGTAGTTTTGTTAATATTAATCTATTGTAAGATTGTTTTTATTAAATTTGTCTATTATTTGAATTATATTAGAACAATAATTCCTTAACCCCAATTTAATAAGATTATTATTATTATTATTATTATTATTATTATTATTATTATTATTATTATTATTATATTATCATATTAGATTAGATTAGATCTGTCCATTTTGTTAGGATTAGGACTTTAATTAATAAAATATGAGAGAGGCGCAGCTTCATCCCATCGGCTAACGAAGATTCGGTCCGGTCAGCTAAAGACCCGAAAGAAGAGCCGATCCTCATTCTCCTACGACATCTATGTCAAGAATTGAATAGTGTAAGGAGAAGCAGTCGAAGGCTATAAATAAAGTTCGGCCGAAGTTCTTCAGGAAGCTCGACACAGCCATTTATCACCTTCATCACCGATCACCGAATTTCATCACCATCACCATCACCATCTTAACACCCAAAAGCCATTCATCATCACCAATTCCATAAAAATTCAATGCAGAAAAATTTCGGTCAGGCCCAGCGTGAGAGTCCGTAGCAAAAGTTCCGGCGGCAACGAATTCTATTTCGGCGGTGGAAGGAGTGTAGAGTTCGGCAGTAGTGCAACAAGTTTCTGGTTTTCTTTCCTCTTGTCTTTATTTTGAGAATTTAGTTGCAAGCATTTTCCTTCCATTGTTTTGTCTAGTTTTCCAGTATACTACTTGTGGGTGAAATTTGCATAACTTTTCATAATTCATTCCAATTCACACAATTGCTTAAAAGATTTGTTTAGTTGTTAGTATTTACCGTAGTGCATTTTTTTCCGGATTTGGTTGAGAAGTTTTTCACTGTCAATTAATATTTCCTGGTTCTGTTCCTTTCTCTTCAATTCGTACTACTTCTTGTTTTAATTCTGTTATTCCTTTATTGTGAGCACACTAAATTAATTAGTCATTCCCTTTACTCTCTCTAATTATTCATTTTATCCATTGATTAGTGTTGGGAAATGAAGCATTGTGATTTAATTATTATTGCAAATTTCATAATTATGCATTGCTACTAGTTTAATTAATTTCTCTCAGAACTCGAACAATACACTATGGAAGTTTTACCGTAGTTATGTTTTTAATTCAATTCTATTTTAATTTATCTTACGCTTGGAACTGTGATTTGAAATTATCTTATTATTTGATATTCGTTTTGGATACTTAAAATTGTCAAGTTCGTTGCTTTAATTTGATAGTCCCTTGCTGCTATTTGATTTCGTTGTTATTTTATTATCTTTCCTGACAATATTTTCTATTTGCATTCTCATTTGGTTAAGTACATTTTGACTCTAAATTAGCTTTGAACCGTTAATTTGTCAAGTTTGTCATTTTAATTCCAAATGATTAAATTGCATACTATCAATTTCCTGTGGGATCGACCCTTGCCTTTGTACACTATAACTACACTGACTCGTGCACTTGCGAGGACATAAATATTAAAATTGTCTAACAATTTTTGGCGTCGTTGCCGGGGAATTGTTTATTTTGCAATTTAATTCTGTTCTTTTTTTTTCGTTAATTGCTTGATTGTTTCTCCCTATCCCTTCATTATTGTCATTTTTTTTATTCTTTAATCTTTGCATTTTATTTAATCCATTCGTCTATTTAAAAAATTGCTTTATATTTGTTTTTGATTTCTGTATTCTCTTTATTTAATTTTCCCATTCCTTAACCGCTTGATTTTTTATTCTATCACTTTATTATTGTCGTTGATTATCCTTTTTAATATTGCTATGTATTGAAGTCATTAGTCCGTTTAAAAACTGCTTACTATCTGTTTTTGTTTTTCCTATATCTTGATTTATTTTTATTTTGTTTTCCTTTTTCTAAGTAATTGTTCCTCGGAACTCGAACAATACACTATGGAAGTTTTACCGTAGTTATGTTTTTAATTCAATTCTATTTTAATTTATCTTACGCATGGAGCTGTGGTTTGCAATTATCTTATTATTTGATATTCGTTTTGGATACTTAAAATTGTCAAGTTCGTTGCTTTAATTTGATAGTCCCTTGGTGCTATTTGATTTCGTTGTTATTTTATTATCTTTCCTGACAATATTTTATATTTGCAGTCTCATTTGGTTAAGTACATTTTGACTCTAAATTAGCTTTGAACCGTTAATTTGTCAAGTTTGTCATTTTAATTCCAAATTATTAAATTGCATACTATCAACCCTTGACTTTGCACACTATAACTACACTGACTCGTGCACTTGCGAGGACATAAATATTAAAATTGTCTAACAATTTTTGGCGCCGTTGCCGGGGAATTCACCCAAGCTTAAATTCACAAGGAAAAAAACATTTTCTTTCCAAAGCAAAACATTTTTTTTGGGATGAGCCTTATTTGTTTAAAATTTGTCCTGATCAAATAATTAGAAGGTGTATTCCTGAGTTTGAACAGCAAAATATTTTGAATCACAGTCACACTTTAAATTGCGGAGGACATTTTAGTGGGAAGAAAACTGCATCGAAAGTTTTGCAGTCCGGTTTTTATTGGCCCACTTTGTTCAAGGATGCATATGAATTTTGTGCTAAGTGTGATAGATGCCAGTGGACTGGTAATATAAGTAAGCGTCATGAAATGCCTCTCTCAAATATTCTAGTTGTTGACCTGTTTGATGTTTGGGGAATTGATTTCATGGGGCCGTTTCCTACTTCCTTTGGTTATAATTATATTCTTGTGGCTATTGATTATGTATCAAAATGGGTTGAAGTTGTAGCCACTAGGACAAATGATAGTAAAGTTGTTTTGAAATTTCTGAAAGATATTTTTGCCACGTTTGGGAACCCAGAGCTATTATTAGCGATGAAGGTACCCACTTCTGTAATAAACTTTTTGCATGTCTTTTGAAAAAATATGCTTTACTCATAAAGTAGCTACTCCATACCATCCACAAAATATGGCATTACCCACATGGTTTTGGGTTCCACGTATAAACCCCGAACCAGGATTTTATCTTCGTACAGTGGGGAGTAGGTGGGGGGACGAATCCCCACCACTTACCCACTGCCTGGCTACCCGTATTCCAGCGGGCAGTGGCCTGCCCGCCGGCCACCCGCTGGAAAGTGTGTGTGTGTGACGGGATGTTTTCCCCCGTTTGACGTTTCCCCGTGTCCCGTTGTGCTCCATTGTACCCCGTTTGATGTTTATTATTCTTGTATGATGTTTTGAGTACCGTTCTAGGAATTTGTGTGTAGTGTGTGTCGTTCGTTAATGTGCCTTGATTATTATTGTTGATTGATTGAACGATGATGGGTGTTGTGATCATTGCGCAATGATCGGTATGACCGATGATGATGAGAATGTGATTCGTGGAAATGAATTGTTGGCGGAAAGCACAACAAGTGCTCGGTTACCGTGCTAAAGTCCCGGACCACCCCTTAGACTTACTGGCTAAAAGCTTGGGTCAGGGTATAAGCGCCGCGGTGTCATGTCAGAGCTATATGCGCTGACGCCATGGTATTGGTGCTAGAGGCACGGACCATGCGAATGACACTTCGGTGCTACCAT